GAGCCCAGGGACACGGGAATCCAGGATCTCCTACAAGGACACGGCCCAGACCCCGAGCCCAGGGACACAGGAACCCAGGATCTCCTACAAGGACACGGCCCAGACCCCGAGCCCAGGGACACAGGAACCCAGGATCTCCTATAAGGGTCTGTTGTGATCCACAGGGTTTTCACTGGCTGGTTTTCAGAAGTAGAATGCCAGGCCTTTCTTCCTAGTCTGTCTTAGTCTGGAAGCTCACTAAAATCTGTTCTGCATCACAGCAACATGCAACTTTCACTGACAGATGGGTGGTGGCTGCCCCTGAGGTGCAAGGGCTGGGAATTTGTGTCAAATATTAAACTCACTAAACAGTATTATTTATTGTGCAGAAACATACTGACACATCCCTGAGGCATGGAAACCCGCATGGGCACGACAGCTCAACCTCAGAGAGTGGTGACCTTCGGGGAGGGAGGAAAGCGAATGAACTGGAACAAATACAGAAAACAGGTGGCACTCACTAAATGTGGGTGCCGCTGTATTATTTGCTGCACATTTCTGTATTTTTAAAACATTTCATTTTTTAAGGGCCGCTCTCTCATTACCGTCAGAGGCACACTGCGTGTCAACAGGCAAATCGCTCAGCTCACCCTCTCAACAGCCCACACCTTCTCTCTAACAGGAGATGACACCCGCTCTACACATACATACATTAGTAACAAACTCTAAGACCAGCTTTGCCTTATCAGCAACAGGCATACCTCTACTGAATCACACCAAGAAAAGCAACTTACTTGAGCCCAGTCTTCACAAATTTCTGCCAATCACCAGGATCAACTTCATTAAGTGAATGCTATGAAAGCAAGCAAAAAAAAATAAATGTGAGACATCGCAATTGAAAAAATGACTAACTGCCCAAGCTGTGCAACCTTCAAAAGGGCACCTGCCTCTCTGGGCCTAGACTCCTCCACTCTAAGCGTGGGATCAGAGAGTTGAAAAAGAGGAGCTCAGGTGACTGTTCCTGCTCTAATGTTCTGTGAGGCTACTCAGGGTCGTCTCTGTTCAGGCCTCTCTACGTAATGTTTGATAAACAGGAGAAAGCTCAAACTTACAGGGGCAGGGAGCAAAAGAACAAAGACTGATCCTAAAACAGAGCAAAAACTAAAATGCAGAGCATGGATTAAAATGAGAGTTACTCAGAAAATAATGGGATACAGTTACCCAGGAGCCCTGGTGGCACAGTCATTAAGAGCTTGGCTGCTAACCAAAAGGTCAGCAGTTCTAATCCACCAGCTACTCGCTGGAAGCCCTATGGGGCAGTTC